GGAAAATCCCTTCATATTAACACAGCTTGCTATTTTCAGATTCAGACCAGACTTTTCTTCGAGTGTGTAGGATAGACAGGAAGTGTGTGTTTTGAGAGCCCGTCCAAAAGGACCGCTGCTTCCTGTGGAGTGAAGAAATCCCGGCTGACGCGGGCGGTGTGAGGGAAGTGTGTTCGGATTTGATCATGGAGTGGCTGATCAATAAAGCTTTATTACAGAGGAGTAATGCTTTAATCTAGCAACTTAATGCAGCTCTCCACTCGTATTGATCCCGGCTCAGAGAGACAGGAAGAGGGAGGCTGGTAATTGTTGGCAATACAAATGTTATCTGTGCGTGCGAGAGTGTGTGTGGTTCTGGGTTTGATGGGCCGTGCCAAATCAGAGCAATTCATCACTGTTCACCACTACGTTTTATTGCTTGCTTGACATTTAAACTGATGGAGGATGTCAGGGATCTATCAGCCTTCAGCTCGCCACTTAAATTCACGCTTTTTCCAGCCAGGCTGAATTGATCACGGATCGCGGGTGTGAATTGGATGCGTATAAATTTCCTCTCTCGTGGGTTATACTTGACAGTGAGTGACTTCTCCTTATCGCCACGGCGACAGTCGCGTTGTCCCGCCTCCTCCTGTTTAAGAGACCCACAATCGTACGATCGCCATCGAGAGCTTTCGAAGAGTCGCGAGATGCTTTCTTCTCCTCCGTTTTAAGAGGTTTTAGAGTGTGAATGTGCCGCAAACCACTGATTGGCTGTTGTGGGTATGTACACATAACGAGAAGAGAATCGTGGGTAATTTAGTGTTGGGTTTAATGCATTACTAAGTAGTAAATTACTGTAATTTAATTACTTCCCCTTGAAAACGTAAAGTAAGGGATTACACTGTTTGTAATTTAATTACAGTTACTTCTGATGTAATTAAATAGTATTAAATACTGTATAGACTATATAAAACAGTAGTGGATTTATCATCAAAACGTAGACATTGCCTCAAGATTCCTTATATTACATTTACAGCAGAAATAATGATAGCAAATCCATGAAATAAAATGCCTCTTAGCGTGACATCAGACTCGGCTAGACTATCAGACTATTGCTCTATTATGATTGTGTATGTACAGTGTACGGCTGCTGTAATCCTGATGAAAAAATCTAATTTAATAGAATAAACATCAGGATTGGTGCTTGTGTGAGCGGCCGATCGATTGGAGAGTGTCTGTCTTCGTCTAACACAATCACGGCTGTAGATACATACATTTAATCATCAGAAAAGCGCAGCGGAGCAGCCAGGAGAAAGAAAGAAACATCAGAGTTAGCAGAAGATTGGAGAATAATGAGTGTGTTTTAATGAGAACTGTTTGGAAACTGTGTGGGATTGCATTCTCTGTGTTTTGTCTGTGATTGAGCCGAGAAGGATACCATACATCAGGCCGTTTCAGATGAGATGAACAAACCCTCCCTGCCATGGCTGACACTTACATAGTGACTTGTTTTGAGCTGAATTGGCTCTAGAGACTCGTCTTTAGCTTTATTGCATTTAGCTCTGATTCTGATTTCATCCATTATTTCTGAATAAGCGTGTTCACAGTTGCGAGTAACAGAAGCTGTTGGACTGTAAAACCCTCGGAGATCAATTGCTTTTTCTAAATTCACCATCAAAGCTCAGTAACAAATCTGACATCTTTAAGACCACAGCTGCAATTTGCTATTAAAATGAATTACTCCCCTAGGGTTAGGGTTAGGTTAGGGTTAGTCAAGCCCTAACCCTAACCTAACTCCCCTTTGAAAGCTCGTCTTGGGACTCCTGTTTGGTTTTAAATGCAGAAATGCATCTTGAGTTCTTGCTATTGGACACTGACACTAAATCTGCCTAATGATGCAGGTCTTCCTCAACCTGACAACCCACCGGCTATAAGAACAGAAGAGAAAGCGCTTTTGCATTCTTTCTAATATCAGGCCAAAAGTCTTGTTTTCTTTGCTTTCCTGAAGATTCGTGACAATCGTGAGTCAGAGAGAGAAAATGTCACCCAAAGGGATGATGGGATTCGCTTTGTTATTAATAAGCTCAGAGCAAACAGCCAATCACTGTTCTGTGTTAACAAGTTCCTCATCTGTATTTCGAGCATCTCATTTTAATTAGACTACATGGACAGGGCCTCCTGAGCTGTGTGTGTGTGTGTGTGTGCGTGTGCGCTGCATGTACTGAGAGTGTGTGCTTCCTTTCTCTGTTTCATTTAGTCTTCTGCCCTCGGTTCACATGCCACCCGCTGATCTGGGTTTCTGCTTCTGTTCTTCCCCAGAGTTTTCTCTTCTTACATTATGTTCTCTCACCTGCCACTGGCTTTCATTCAATGTCATACTTGCATTGTTTTTCATGTTTACATGGCTTTCTAAAACAGTTGACTGTGATTGGTCAGCGATGGCATTCATGTGTGTGTAATTACTGTTTAACTCTACAACGACCAGTTCAACTGATTTTCTGCATCTGTTGCATCACTCCATGCGGTTTTATGATTGTCTAATAATTGAATACAATTGTATAAAGTAAAATAGTTAAATGCATATCTTAATATTAATAATAATGTAATATTTTAAACATTTTAATATAAAATATATACACTCCTATCAGTATTTGATATTATGTTGTTTATTGATTTTGTGAGTAGTCATGTAGTAATGACTTCTTTCTACTGACTAACCCAAATCTTTTTCTCTAAAAACAAAACTGACTAATATTTATATCTCTTGAAGTTGGCATGAAATGAAAATACATGCATGTTATAGATCATACTCTGAATGGTTCATTCATGCCTGTGTTTCATAAAAAAAAAATTAAAAAGTAAAAGCCATGTAATGTTTAATCCAAATGCCATAATTGACGCTTTTACCATTTCATTGTGACTTTAATTACACTCAAGCACAATATAGCTAAATACAATATAGCTCAATCTAAATTCTGAGGATCGTTTATATCATCATTTTATGCCATATTGTCCAGACCTAAAACCATATATTAAACCTATATTACTAAGGCATTATTGACGTATCAGTATGACTTTCTGTAAATCTACTGTGAAAAGTGCTATATAAATAAATACAAATACAAATTAGAAAACATACTCTACACAAATATGTGGATGCAAACACTTCTAGCTAGAGAATGATTTCAGTTCTGATTTCATTGGTTACATTCAGAGATTTTTTTTTCCGCAATGCAATGTAACGGAACACAAAATATGCATTATACTCTCAGAGTTGCCACAGGGGGCACAGTAGCAGACATTTGCATAAACCACCTTCTAGGATCAGTTTTCTGTTATCTGAATAATAGCACATCTGGTTTAATGTTTAAAACATTTGAAACAAACTGCATGAAAATACATAGTTTCTGTGTGCTCTTGTATTGATGTGTGTGTGTGTGTGTGTGTGTGTGTGTGTGTGTTTCCCTGTGTAGCAACAGCTCTACACTATTGAGTTTTCTTACATCTGGTCTCTGACCCCACACACCTCAGCTCAGGCCTGGCTGACTCTCGGGTCAAAGGTTATTTAAGGCTGGGAATAGACCCGGTTTGACTTTATTGAGAGGTTTGCTGATTTATGACTGTACACGAAGGTTACAGTTTAGTTAGAGTTAAGGTTAAGTCAAAGATGAATGTTAGGGTCACAGCGTACCGAACATTCAGTCATAACCAACCATCTACTACATCTACATCTGCATCTCATGACCAACCATCAACACAGAAAAAACATTCTGCGTTTCATCCCAGAGAAAAGATGGCCACATGCATTCTCCGCTGCATGTGTGTTGCATGCTTTTGCACGATGCAGTGTGTGTGTTTGTGCAGTATTGACACTGATGAACTGTCTGGCACAGGTGAATTACTCTGTTACAGTAATTACAAGCCATCTTGGAGTACTGCACTGATGCATTATGGGGAGGCGTTATAAGAAGCTTCTCTCTTGCTGATGTATGGGCTAGTTTAGAGATGCTTCAAATGTCTGCATCTGTGTGTGTATGAAGGAGCCTTTATCTGGTCCACAGGTGCCTCATTTGCTTTCACAGCACTTCCCATCTCTCTTGCGCGCTGCTTGTACCAGTTCACTCTCGCTTTTCACTTCAACCTTTTTTAATTTAAACATCAGAAAGAGAAATTTAAATCCGAACGCTGTGGTTTGTGTGGCTTTGCAGCATTTAGTCTCGTTTTTCATCTGTGTGGCTGTTCAAGCTGAGATTAAAACGGAACAAGGCATCTCTATGAATCCTGTCGTTAATGTCTTTTTTCAGAATTTTAAAGATGCTATGAAACTGAAATAGAGTCAGATCTTCTCTGTATTGTGACATGAATCTAAGTAAAATAGATCATGAAAAATATTTGGATTTATGCATCGATTGTTGATTGGATGCAGGCGGATTTGAATGAGATTGCAGTGGATGGTAAGAAATGTTCAGCATTTAAGAGAACTAAATGATTGGAGAAAACCTGCAAACGTCACCAGAGAGAAGATGTTTCACAGGAAGATCTAGACATGACATTTCGATCTAAGATTATGAGTTCAAAAATGAAAGGTGAAAAAATTCAACATGAATGACTCTATAACATGCAATTAGATGGTTTTAATGGTTTGGGTGGCAATAAAACCTGCTGACCTGAATGATGCCTGCATAAAATATCATGGATTGTCCACAACTGACACTCAGATCTCTCAAATGCAGAAACAATCATAAAAGCCATAACAAAAATGTGGAGTGAGATGAGCTAATATTGCAAGCAATTGCGGAACAGATCTAAATAAATGAATGTGTCTGTATCATGTCATCATACTTTTATTTTGCCTCCAGGAGGGTGACAACTTCTGAGTCCCATTTTAACAATGAGCTGTATTTGTATCACTAAAGTACATTTAGTTCTCTTCTTGATATGTGAACATGTTTCAGTGTTATAGTCCTGCTGAGTGTGAATCGTGTAGGCTAGTGTAACCTGTCTCTCGTCTTCTCTCTCAGAACCCATGCGGACCCCCAAGAGTCTGAAGATCGCAGAGACGCAGGCACGCTTCATCGCCGTGGACTGGGAGTCGCTGGGCTACAACATCACCCGCTGCCACACCTTCAACGTCACCATCTGCTACCACTACCACAAAACCAACCAGAGCAAAGCCGACTGCCTGGAGATGGACCCCAAAGCCCCCCGACACGTGCTGGGCAACCTGCCTCCCAACACCAACGTCAGCCTGAAGATGATCCTCACCAACCCGGAGGGACGCAAAGAGAGCGACGAGACCGTCATCCAGACGGAGGAGGATGGTATGAGAACCACTTCCCAACCCTACTGTCCACAACAACATAAGTCTTTAAAATAACTATTAAAGGGGTCATATGGTGCGATTTCAAGTTTTCCTTTCTCTTTGGAGTGTTTACAAGCTGTTCGTGAATAGATAAGATCCCTGAAGTTGCAAAGATTAAAGTCTCAAACCCAAAGAGATATTCTTTATAAAAGTTAAGACTCGTCCACGCCCCCCTAAAACGGCTCGTTCTAACACATCCCCACATGTCTACGTCACTGGGTGGGAAGATTTGCATAACACAGTCCAAATATTTACGCAAAGAAAGGACTTTTTCCTGGGAGAGTAGGCTACACTGTAAAAAAAAAATCCGTAAAATTTACAGTAAAAAAATCGGCAGCTGTGGTTGCCGGAATTTTACCGTAAAAAATACGGTAGCAACGTTTTAGGTTTTACGGTTTTAACTTAAATTTACAGTTAAATACCGTAATTTCATTAACTGATATAATGTTAATATACCAACCTATTGAAGTACTGAAATCTGTTTTGTACCTTTGTGATACACTGATAACCACCAAATGCAGGAGGTGATGAGAAAGTCACACGACGAACCAAAGCCCATCACAAGCAGCTTTTAAATAATAACATTTATAGAAGCTGCTCAGTGTTATTCACACAAACACTAAACACCATCACGGTAACACACGTGAAACTGAATTAATGCAATAAACATTAATTTAACAACATTAGGTGTAACACACAAGCCTAATATACAAAACTGATAAGAAAAAACTAAGAAGAAACATAGTTATTTCAACAAAAAAACATCAAATTTGAAATGTAACGCAGGGAATTCTGGGAAAATCAATTTATGGTTATTCACTGTAAATTATACGGTCGTTTTCACTTCCAAAAGCGGTATACTACCATTAAATTCATGTCCAATACATGTAATGTCCAATACAGTTTTTCACCGTATATAGTAGGGGAATTTACCGTTAACCATTTAACAGGTTTTTACTGTAGCATTTTTACAGCTTTTTACCTTTAAATTAATTTAGTCTGTTAAAGTAATTTTTTACAGTTGTACAATGCCGGTGTTCTGACAAATAATGCTGACTCACAGCCTGTAAGTACGCTTTCATATTTAAAGGATTTGCCACTGATGATTCAAACACGAGTTTTGAGCAGTATAGAGTAGCACTTGTTGTTTGTCATTTCTCCGATCACAAATGCAGACATGGTTTTATGTTTACGCGGTTCGATATGCAACGCAATGCGTAAAACAACAGTATAAGTCATTATAATCAGTACTTATGTCACCACTGGATGCAACAAATGCCTCGTTTATAATGGGTTTTAATGTTTTTGTCTCGTCATGGTAAGAAAGACACTTCAGGTGAATAGGATAAACCTTTTAACTAATGTCATGAATCCAGTAGTCTAATAGTCATGAATAGCATATGAATATGACTTTCGTTGCACGTTCTTACAGTCAGTCTTGACTCTTGTAAACTGCATTTCAAAACTCACACCCGTAAATAAATGCGGTTGTCAATCCCAAGCACTGACAGTGTGAACATAGACTGAAAGAAGGCACGTTATAGAAGCACAATAGCCCAAAATCTCAAAATTGACCAGTGCATGACAAAAATGGTTTGCATGTAGTGTCTTGCCTTAAAATAAGAATTATCTTGATTTTTCATTGTTTTAGCTTATTTTAGAGCTTATTTTGTCTTATTTTAAATTATTTTAAGTCACCTTGTAAGTTTGCTGAGGTCCCCTAGAATGACGTAGTACAGGTTAATTTGGTGTGTCATGTGATTGTGCTGTAATTGCTGGTCCAGGTGTGCTGACTTGCTCTTTTCCATATAGTGTCATTATGCCACGTCCCTCTGCACAGCTATGTGTACACTCTTAAAAATAAAGGTGCTTCAAAAGGTTCTTCAAGCGATGCCATAGAAGAACCATTTTTGGGTCCACAAAGAACCATTCAGTCAAAGGTTCTTTAAAGAACCATCTCTTTCTTACCTTTTTATAATCTGAAGAACCTTCTTTCGCCACAAAGAACCTTTTGTGAAACAGAAAGGTTCTTCAAATGTTAAAGGTTCTTTATGGAACCATTTAGACAAAAAGGTTCTTCTATGGCATCGTGAATTACCTTTATTTTTAAGAGTATAGGGCAGATGATCACTGATTCTCACTGTATGATAACATACACACGAGGAGTGTGATGTGGCTCTGGACTCTGTTGTGTTTGGTTGAGTTTCTCGGCTCGGCGTCGGTCCACAGATAAGCGCTCAGGCACAAGGGAGTCTGACATGAATTTATTTTGCCCTCTCTCGCTTTGCTCCATACTGAGGTGAGCCATCTAGATCTTTGATTGGAGGATCAGTGAGAGAGTGAAACCAAAAAAAATGGTGCGCATCCATAAATAATCCAATGTCACAGTTTAAGTACTGCAATGTGTCGTCAGAAGAACATTGAAGTATTAAGGCACCAAACCCCAATCTTCCTCCATTTACAGATGTTTATGCGTTCAGCCAGTTTGGCAATAGAAACAAATCTCAGATTGTATTGGTGACTTATGCTATTTGAACAGACCAGGGCTTCCAATGGCCGATGACAACCAATGACTATGTGTCCTCATGGAATTTGAAAATAATAGGGTCCCTGGATCCGAATGTACAGAATCCATAATCCCACCATGAAACTGCCCAGCCAGTGTCCATATACACTGTATGGACAAAAGTATCGGGACACACTCTTAATTATTGAATTCAGGTGTTTCAGTCAGGCTCATTGCCACATGTGTATAAAATCAAGCACCCCGTCATGCAGTCTGCGTTTACAAACAGAGCTCAGTGAAATCAAGCGTGGTACTGTGATAGGATGCCACCTTTGTAATAAATCAGTTCATGAAATTTCATCCCTGCTAGATATTCCATGGTCAGCTGTAAGTATTACTGGAAAGTATAAGCGTTTAGCAGCAGCAACTGAAGACCGCGTCAAGTCACAGAGCAGCTCACCAATTGCTGAAGAGTATGGAACGTGAAAGTCACCAAAGCTCTGCTGATTCCAGAGCTGATGAGATCCACACTTCCACTGGCATTAATATCAGCACAAAAACTGTGCAGCGGAAGATTCATGGATTGGGTTTCTATGGCTGAGCTGCTGCATGGAAGCCTCACCTCACCAAGAACAATTCCGAGTGGGATGGAGTGAGTAAAGCATGTCGACACTGGACTCTGGAGCAGTGGAAACCTGTCCATGTTTGGCAGTCTGATGGGCGAGTACAGTTTGCTGGAGGAGGGATAATAATATGGGGCTGTTTTTCAGGGTTTGGGCTCGGCCCCTTACTTCCAGTTACTTACCAAGACATTTTGGACAATGCCGTGACACTCCAAAATCTTGTGAAAAGCCTTCTCAGAAGAGTGGAATCTGACCAACTCCATATTAATTTCTGTGTGTTTGGAATGCAGTGTCATTAAAGTCCCTGTTGCTGTAATGGTCAGGTGTCACAATACTTTTGTCCATATAGATCTCACATCTCAGCCAGAAACACACTGATCTGCTGAAATGTTGACTGACAATATGTCCAAATGATCGAGTGTAGCATTGGCCCATTTAAAATGTTTACATGATTACGCTGACGGTTAAAGCCTCTTGGTGTAACGTCTCTCTCACGGAGAAACAGATCAGGAATGTATAAATATAACTTTTTTTATTCAGTAGATGAGATGAGTGAGGCAAATAATTCAAATAAGGATAAAGGCAGGAATATATTGAACAGTTGAACACAAGCGCACCTGACAGTCATAAGTGGGTTATGCTGTGAAGATGCTGCTGTGATTTCTTGACACATCTGGGACATGCACATCGCTTGCACAACTTTTTTTTGTCAGGCATCTTGATGTGAATAGTGTTGCAGCACAATAAAGGCCACCGTCAGCGACTCCATGGGCTGAATGCTGGCAGAGCCAGGTTTAGGTGTGCGCTGGTAACAGGCACACCATTTGTTTTCATCTGCGCATATGCAAATGACTTTTGAAGCTAACATTTTCTTGTTTTGATGAGTTGACACACTCCTACTAGTGTGCTATCATTTCTGCCCCCTTCTTTTGTGTTGTGTCGATGGCCTTTTATCTGCAGAATGATTTCTAGTGAACATGTTCTTATAATGTGCGCAGTCTCACAGTCACAGTTACAGAATTAATGTTGTGCCTACATTTAAAATTACTTATGCAAAGAAATTCATATGTAGGCACAATTTATATTTGTCATCAAACGCTAATTTCAGTCATGGAAGCGGAAGCCTTTGCATCAGAGGGTTTTAGGAATCATGAGAATCAGTCATGTTTTTCCAGACTTTTCACTGGTACTACATTGTCCCCATATTTATACTTTTTTTCTGATTCTGTTATGGATATATGGATATACTGTAAATTGTCTTTACCTGCAGTACAGAGTCCACTTGTAAGCAATAAAGAGCTGCTTCATCGCCGAAAACATCTGCAAGTTATGTTTCTTGCAATGGATTGTAGGCACTGTAAAGTTCATCCAGCGATTTTTTTTTTTTGTGTGCTCTATTCTATAAAAATACTCATATATATATATATATATATATATATATATATATATATATATATATATATATATAGTCGCCTACATTATGCTAGGAGAATTTCATCTACTATGACTGAGTATCTGTTGGTTTGGGAAAAGGTGACAGAAAACTGAATTTTAGCATTTGCTCGCGTAAAAAAGCTAATTTCAAATATTCATAAACACTATAATAATATATAAATAATACTAATATAAAATAAGTTATCACTCATGTCCTAGCAACTTCTAAACATGTCCTAAACACTGCTATTACTGCATTTGTGTTCAATTTGCTAATTTTAGTGTATAGATGCTGTAAATGTATGTGTTATAAGTTTAATACTGTCAAGCATTATGAGATGCTCATTGTTTTTGTGCAGACTTGTTTTTCAGGAGGCTAGCAGACTGTAGCTCAACTACTTTAGATCGTGAATAGCTCGTATCTCGACAAAGTACAGTTTCAGGGAAGCCTCCTCAACACATGATTTCATTAAGGGAAAAATGGTGACTCTTTCACTCTTGCTCTGTCTGTGTAGCGCCTACTCTAGAGGAGTACGATGGGTCGGAGGCGTCCCTGAATGAGACGGCCACTACCATCACCGTCCTGCTGAAACCTGCCCAGGCTAAAGGAGCGCCTATCAGGTGTGTGTTTGTGTCTCCTCAGTCTCCTCATATCCTCCAGACGTTATTAGACTTCCTCTCTGTGCTGTAATGAGCCACTGCTGGTGACATTACCGCTCCCGTATTAACTTCCTGTGTTTCTCTGCTCATAAACCCCCACTCTATCTCTCCTTCCATCTTTGTCTCTTTCAGCTGTTCAATATTCCTTTCGACACTTGCACAAAGATCCCTATTTGATCTGAGCCATGCCTGACTCTTCCTCTTCCTCCTCATCCTCTCGCTGTTTGACTGGTTTGAGGCTCTGTGTCACATCTGGGCTTGAAAACAGTCTTTCAGTAATTTAGCTGTCATTGTGACAGACTCATTCCTGCAGCCACACACAGATGGAGGAGGCGGAGAGACTTATTTACTTATTGTTTAAATTCGGTGAAGTAAGAAAAATGCAGAAAAACTGCATTGGGAAAGTGAAGGGAAACAGCGATGTGACGCACATGAGCCCATTAGTGCACAGAGTTTTCCCAGAGATATCCTAATTAGAATGATTTCTACAGTGTTTTCAAGATGTTTTCATGTAAAAAAAATAAATAAATTAGGGATGTCGATTTAATGCGTTAATTTGGTGTGATTAATTATGGAAAAAAATTACGTGTTAAAATGATTAAGGCATTTAATGCAGCCGCCCCGTCCAGACCTGTCTGTCTGTAACGGGGCTGACGAGACGTGAGACGTGTTGATCCATCTGCAAGCTTTTATTAAAGAGATGTGGTATAACAGGCAGGGTCGAACAATGGCAAACAGGTATATGGCGGGCAAAAACACAAGAATAGTCCTAGGGCTAGCGTAGGTCACCGATCGGCAGACAGAATCACAGGGGCGAGACGAGAGGGAAAAATCCAGGAAAACAGGCAAAGATCAGAAACCGCAAAAACAGGCAAGGCAAAACAAGGAAAACACGGAGACTCGGAAAGGGGTACAGGCTAAACAATACTCAGCCGAGAAAGGTGGTTTGAGTGGGTGTTATATAGTGAGTGAAGTGATAAGAAACAGCTGTGTGCAATGAGTGCAATCAGTGCAGTGTGCAAATCGTGCAATGAATGATGGGATATGTAGTCCGGGGTGCTATGCAACAGTTTGTGTTGTGCGAGAGTCAATGTAAAGGAAAGGGTGACCTCTGGTGGTGAATAAACGAAAATGTCCATGGACCGAATTCGTGACACTGTCATCTTACATTGATGATGAACATGATGCAAGACAACAACCGACTGCATGATGAAGCCTATTAGAATGCAGTTATATGAGCCTAAAATTCAAGTTATGGGGGCAAAAATGACCTTTTAATGGTTTTTATCTTGCAAAGGTGATACTGATTTTATACAAGTTCAATAAACAAGAAGTTAATATTGTGTGACACAATATTGTCATATTGCCCGTTTTTGCCTAATTTCACAAACTAAAGTATTTTCAAACAAAGTCACAGCAGATCTGTTGTGTGTCTAAGCAAGAGACACCATTGATTTGTTATTGAATGACTCCACCTTTTTATACAAATAGAGTGAGTCAATGATTCAGTGACTCATTTATAAAGACAGTCACTTGAATCAGCTGTTTGAACAAATCAGTTAAATGAGTGATTCAATGACTCATTAATGAAGACAGTGACGTGCCGCCACCTACTGTTGGTTTTAATTTCATATTTAGAGTATAATTTCATTTATTAAAAAAACTAATAATATGCATTTTTTAAAACCCATTAATGCCCATTTAAAGCCCATTAATCTCATAGCGTTATTAATGCGATTCTAATCGCAGTTCAAATGCTTTCATGCCATCCCTGAACATTCTGTAAATATACCTAAATGCCACTTCAGATGCAGCTTCTGAAAACAGTTTTATGGCCACATTGCAGTACAATATGTAATATAAATTCAATGCTGAATCAAAATATTTCTTTCTAAAGCTACTTTTATGTCTATTCAGTCTAATGAATGACTTCACACAATCTCTTGGGGTGTAATTTTTCAGCCCAAACCGATGTGCTATTAATTTGATTAATTAATTGGCACATCATCGACTTTAGTGACCAGTGAGCACATACGTGTGTTTGTGTAGAAACTCACATAGGAAGCGCACGGATGGAGGAGATTTTGTCCTCCAGTCTCCAGTAAGTGAACACATGCAGAGAGCTGAATGAATGAAACACCTTTGACAAGAGCTTAGATAGATTAAGGGTGAATATCCCAGCTCACATCGCAAAATATCATCCCAAATGGATTTTTTTTTGTGAAGACAATAATGGCATTTTGATTTTCTGGGCATGGTTATGTTAGAGCGAGGTGAGAGGTGAGAGACGTTTACTTCTTGGTGTAAATGTAAAAGCAGTGCTGACTCGAGTCATGTTGTGTCTGTCATCAACAGCGCCTATCAGATCGTTGTGAGGGAGATCAATCCACACCGTGCACGGCGGGAGGCCGGCGGCGGGGAGTGTTACCGTGAGCCGGTGACCTATCAGAACGCGGCCAGCGCCGGGCTGCCGTATTACTTCGCGGCAGAGCTCCCGCCCAGGAATCTCCCAGAGCCGCTGCCGTTTACCGTAGGAGACAACAAGACGTACCACGGCTACTGGAACGCCCCCCTCGCACCCCGCAAAAACTACAACATCTACTTTCAGGCGGTCAGCAGCGTGGAGAAGGTCAGCAGATGACAAATGAACACACACAGCCCTCATATCAGCACACGCAGTGACTGAGAGTGTGTGACAGGACTGACACAGAATCATAGTCCTTTGATCTGTTCTGTCCTTGAGCTGCCGTTTGTGTTGCTTCAGGCCCTTTTATTGGAGCATTGTGCATTCTTTTGCAATACATGTGATGGTTTGACTGTTCAATCAGATCACAAGGTCAATCACACCTCTGTCAAATACTAAAATAAAATATGAAAATATGGCCTTCCAGTGTTGTCGCAGCTCAGAGTGTTTCAAAATCACAACACGCATTGCAAGTCAAGCTGCTGCAATCATTCTACTCCATATGTTGATAAGTTTTCACATCTTTATGCGATTCTGCTCTACTTTTAATAGAGTTTTGAGACTTAACTGTAAATTGTTTTTGTTTCAGGAAAGTAAAACGCAGTGTCTGAAACTGGCTTTTAAAGGTAAGCCCTTTGAATTTAAAGCATGCATTTACCATACATTTCTCCAGCACAACTTCAACATAGTTATAGAAAAGCAATGTTAGTATATGCAGTGGGACGGTGTCTGATAATATGGACAAAAGAAGCCATGCCAAAGCTTGACCATCCCACTCACAGTTGCCTATTCTGTTCAGATGCAATTATCAGTTACATATGCATCACATTTATGAACACTTTATCTCCCTCAAATATATGCACTAAAATATACTGAAATATACTTCTATGAAAAAGGCACAGTATGTGATTTTTATATGTAATTTAATGTGCAATAAATGCAAGCTTTGTGCATTTGTTCTCAGAAATAGTTGCCATTTTGCCTTCGTTCAACTGGAAATGGATTGCATGTACTTGTGTATATTAATTTGGCAGATTTTGAAATTGAATATGTGACGCTTTTAGTGTTCTTGTGCACTAAACCCAAAAACCCAAAAAGAACACTTTTAGATCATAGTTCAAGAGTCAAGTTTATTGTCATTTCAGCCATATACATGCATACAACTGGAACTAAATGTTGTTTCAGCAGGTCTGCAGCTTACAAAAGACTTGAATGACTGCAGAGCACCAGTGTACTGCAAAAATTATAGTTATAAAAATATCAATTTGCGGTAATGTGCTGATACAGAAGTGGTAAAATTATAATAATTCTATTTTTAAATTGATGGTAGAGAGCTGGCAATAGTACTGCTCAGTCCTGCTTGAAACAGAGTGATAACTTTGAAGACAAAGCATTTCACTGCCTTTCATAACACAGCAAATAAAATAAAGAACGAATAATCCATACCCACAGTAACAGGAGGCTGGAAGTGCTTGACATTAATCTGTGATGCTGTGCTGCTTTGGCTCTAAAGTAACCGTTTGAAACTGAAGAAGAGGACAACAGTGTAATGTAATGTAATGTTGAGACACACCTGTCATACCGTATCTCAGGACCGTTAGGATTATTTTAGTAAGCACATTTCTAATAATATTTCTATATGTTTTTAAAATAATTTTGGATTAGCAAATTTTTTATCGTTCAGCAGTCATCCCTGTAGTACTAAGGAACTGCATCCGTTTTGTTTTCTATGTCTGCTTCAGGATTGTACTCACAAAGGAGTTAGTGTTATCAGGTCAAGCATTGTATTTTTTGTTCGTTAATATCACAACCCAGAATGGAATATTTTGTGTAAATATAAATTTGATTTGTTTTTTGAAATGTATGAATATTCAGCTCTGCTATGACACACTCTTTGTTTCCGGGTTACTGTGAGTTTTCAGAGGTTTTTTTTTCATCGTATATATTTTGTGATTATTTGTGGAGTTGTGATTTTCATAATCATAATTGCATATTGGACATGTAGTTTTCTTGTACATTTTTAAGTGCCATTGTGTCCAGCTAGATGTCCGATTTTTTTTCTGCATGGAGTGAGTCTGAATACTTTCCGTACCCACCGTATATATATATATATATATATTGTCAATGTGCTGTTGTGGTAATGACAGTACCTTCGGCCATGTCTCGTCTGAGTTATTGTACATTATTTCCTCCTCTGGCTCTTCATTAATTGTTTTTCCAGCAGGAAATCGAATGATAACAGTCTGCCTGAGCTCAGAGCACTCCCAGAACGGATTAGATATAGCCCACGTCATGTGTTGTTTAGCAACAAAAATACATTTTTGTTTTTAAGCATGGAATTTTATCTCCAAAATGGACGTAATCCAATTTCCATTGAATTGCTCCTAGTGTTTTTCTCTCAGATCAGACTCATAAGAGCTGACAGAAACAGAAGTGTTCTGGCAGGGGGCAAAATTCGGTGTCTGAACCAATACAGGCCTGCATCTAAAACCACACCGCGCCGCCGATTAATCACCTTTTAACCCAAGTGTCAAAAGTGATTGCCAGTAAGGTTACAGTCTTTGCTTTTCCATCATGTGGGTGAGAGGGACACGGTTATAGATTGCATTTATCCACAGGAAAAAAAATTAGAATAACCAGTCAAAAATATTATTTAACATTACTAAATACATTGATTTATACCAACAAAACTCTTTTTACAGGTTAAATCAGGTAGAAATAGCTCTTTAAGGTAGCAATTGCAAGACGGCTATAAGAGAATAGAAGAGAATAACCCTCAAAAACAGTACATGAACATAATCATCCAGCAGAATTCCATTAAATATTGACTTTGTATGAGCTATTTTAGAATAGTGAAATTATTTTACATATAATAGTAGTATTGCTACAACTGTGCATGCATGTAAGACATGCTGCTGCTGAAATTAGCCGTAACAGATCTATACAGGTGGATCTGGGGGAGGTAGAGGGCTTCTGGGAGTTTCATGCTGCAAGACTCGCTGAAGCCAAACTATTTAAAAGTTAAGCAGCAAGCTCATTGGCTGCAGCATCAGCAGAGACCAATCAGCTTGTGCCGTGCTGTGATGCCAGTGTTTGCAGATTGCATTAAGAAGATAATATGTATATAGAACTCTAAACCGCTACATCAAAGCCAGATTGTGATGTGTCAGAAATAATCATTTTCTAACCAAGTGTATGCATACTACTATATGTAAAATGATTTCACTATTCTAAAATAGCTGAATATTTAATGCCTAGGGTTGAACACCTATGATTTAATGGATTTCCAGAAACTCCTTTATTTTGCTTCACTAAATGGTACTTATAGAAATCCAATTCAGATGTTTTCGTTTTCTGAGTAACACGTAATAATGTAATTCCACATTTATAATACATTTATAATCTAATTCTATTGTTTATGCTGTTATAACTGTCACAGAGTTTTCAAAAATATGAAGTATTAAAATTGTTATTATGAGAAAAAAAGATTATAAATTATTTATAAAAAATGTTTAATAAAAAAAACTTGATGTTGCTAAAAAATAAAATAGCATCTTTGTGTGATAGGTGGAAATGTTGGCAGGGCAAATAAAAAACAATTGTAGTGTGGCAGCAGTAAAAAAACCCCCGCTGATTCCCCAGTCCTATAGTGCTTTCAGCTGCCCATAAGAGTGTCTGAGCTGTGTTTAATATCTGTCCCGTTGATTGTGCCTGGGTTATTTGTTATTGACAGAGATATTTGTATATATATATATATATATATTGTCAATGTGCTGTTGTGGTAATGACAGTACCTTCGGCCATGTCTCGTCTGAGTTATTGTACATTATTTCCTCCTCTGGCTCTTCATTAATTGTTTTTCAGCAGGAAATCGAATGATAAAAGTCTGCCCGCGGCTCAGAGCACTCCCAGAACGGATTAGATATAGCCCACGTCATGTGTTGTTTAGCAACAAAAATACATTTTTGTTTTTAAGCATGGAATTTTATCTCCAAAATGGACGTAATCCAATTTCCATTGAATTGCTCCTAGTGTTTTTCTCTCAGATCAGACTCATAAGAGCTGACAGAAACAGAAGTGTTCTGGCAGGGGGCAAAATTCGGTGTCTGAACCAATACAGGCCTGCATCTAAAACCACACCGCGCCGCCGATTAATCACCTTTTAACCCAAGTGTCAAAAGTGATTGCCAGTAAGGTTACAGTCTTTGCTTTTCCATCATGTGGGTGAGAGGGACACGGTTATAGATTGCATTTATCCACAGGAAAAAAAATTAGAATAACCAGTCAAAAATATTATTTAACATTACTAAATACATTGATTTATACCAACAAAACTCTTTTTACAGGTTAAATCAGGTAGAAATAGCTCTTTAAGGTAGCAATTGCAAGACGGCTATAAGAGAATAGAAGAGAATAACCCTCAAAAACAGTACATGAACATAATCATCCAGCAGAATTCCATTAAATATTGACTTTGTATGAGCTATTTTAGAATAGTGAAATTATTTTACATATAATAGTAGTATTGCTACAACTGTGCATGCATGTAAGACATGCTGCTGCTGAAATTAGCCGTAACAGATCTATACAGGTGGATCTGGGGGAGGTAGAGGGCTTCTGGGAGTTTCATGCTGCAAGACTCGCTGAAGCCAAACTATTTAAAAGTTAAGCAGCAAGCTCATTGGCTGCAGCATCAGCAGAGACCAATCAGCTTGTGCCGTGCTGTGATGCCAGTGTTTGCAGATTGCATTAAGAAGATAATATGTATATAGAACTCTAAACCGCTACATCAAACCCAGATTGTGATGTGTCAGAAATAATCATTTTCTAACCAAGTGTATGCATACTACTATATGTAAAATTATTTCACTATTCTAAAATAGCTGAATATTTAATGCCTAGGGTTGAACACCTATGATTTAATGGATTTCCAGAAACTCCTTTATTTTGCTTCACTAAATGGTACTTATAGAAATCCAATTCAGATGTTTTCGTTTTCTGAGTAACACGTAATAATGTAATTCCACATTTATAATACATTTATAATCTAATTCTATTGTTTATGCTGTTATAACTGTCACAGAGTTTTCAAAAATATGAAGTATTAAAATTGTTATTATGAGAAAAAAAGATTATAAATTATTTATAAAAAATGTTTAATAAAAAAAACTTGATGTTGCTAAAAAATAAAATAGCATCTTTGTGTGATAGGTGGAAATGTTGGCAGGGCAAATAAAAAACAATTGTAGTGTGGCAGCAGTAAAAAAACCCCCGCTGATTCCCCAGTCCTATAGTGCTTTCAGCTGCCCATAAGAGTGTCTGAGCTGTGTTTAATATCTGTCCCGTTGATTGTGCCTGGGTTATTTGTTATTGACAGAGATATTTGTGGGATTTAATGGATTTCCAGAAACTCCTTTATTTTGCTTCACTAAATGGTACTTATAGAAATCCAATTCAGATGTTTTCGTTTTCTGAGTAACACGTAATAATGTAATTCCACATTTATAATACATTTATAATCTAATTCTATTGTTTATGCTGTTATAACTGTCACAGAGTTTTCAAAAATATGAAGTATTAAAATTGTTATTATGAGAAAAAAAGATTATAAATTATTTATAAAAAATGTTTAATAAAAAAAACTTG